CTGTGGTCACTGCAAACTCATTTCAAGCCGGCCACATGCTTCAATCTGAGTGGATAAAGTTTTCGGGCCACAGTTTTTAGCTCATTCCGGGCCACTTATATATTTTCTGGTCAACAATTCATCACAACTGGCTTAGATGGCCGTGGATGTCGCAGTGGAGCTCGAATCTTGGACCTCACTTTCGGTAGCAACTTTGTGGAATGTTTTTGCGGCGACAGAATGTGTATAAATTTTGTCAAAAGTGTAGCAAGGCATTCAAGAATTTGTTGAATTGTATTTTGCGAAAGTTTTCTGTGCAGTTATTTAATTGAATTTGCCACCGAAGGCGCTGGGGCAGCTACAATTGCACTGAGAAAAATCGCAAGCCGAAGCCCTTTAACATCACTAAGAGGCTTACAAAAATATAAAGAAGAAAGTGTAAAGAGCTTTAATGTACTTAATTAAAAATATTCATATTTTAACAACTTAACTCAATGTATTTTAAATTCGTATAAGTCGGCATTTATTGAAATTAAAAACAAAAGCATTTATACATCTTTTTAAAAAAGTTTTCATTAGTAATTTAATTATGATATTTATATGAGTAAAGGTGTAAATAAGTCAAAATTTATTTTTCAAGAAATATTTATTTAAATATTTGTATTGTTATCCAGGACCCCACAGAAGTCCTTAGCGATTTGATATCTGTTATTTACATACCCATAAAATATTTTGAGTCTCATTTCACATTATTTCCTTCTTTGAATAATATAAATCACTGTACACTTTTAATCTGCCTAATAACTGCTATCAAATCCTCCGAGACTGCTATTGTGTTTTTCTCTCTGCATGGCCCGTCAAAAAAGTTGTGTTCTTAAACTCTGTGTGTGCTAGTTCGTAATTTCTCGTTTAGATTTGCCCTCAGTGTTCGGTGAGGGATAAGCGGAAATAATGTGGCTGGAATACAGGACTGTTGGCTGCACTCGCCAGTGTTTCGAAAGTTTTTACGATTGTTTATTAAGGAACTAAGCGCACTTAATAAGATTATGGACAGGGCGTGGTCATACTCGTGCTCTTAGTAGCACTAAAAATGCTTGCCCTCCGCAAACAATTCAAATTAAACTGGAAGTCCAAAACGCCCAACTGACAGACATTCCGTTCGAGTTTGGCTTTTGCATTTGCCGCTGACAGCAGCCACCGAGAAATGTTGCAAGCTAAAAGAAACAACAAGAAAAAGCACACAAGAAAAGGGAGTGTGCTGCATTGTGAAAGTGGAATTTGCTTTAAAATAATATTGCATAACTGCAGGCGCTGCTTTCACTCAAAACGCAAGGATCTGCGCTGAGTTCGTAAAATCATGGGCAGTGGTAGTTTGCTGAAACATTAAACCGATTTATGGTTATGGATCGCAAATATGAAGCATACAGTTCCAAAAAAATATGCTATATTAAACTTTGAGCTGAAATGGCGTGAAAAGTTGTGGTAAAAAGCTGTTATCGAAGAAAAAGAAAAACTATGTGGGAGTAAAACTCACATTTCACGTGAGCTTGAGTTTCAGGCTCTGAAAAATAGGTACAAAAAAAAAAAAAGGCACAGACAGGTAATTTTAGTAGGAAATAAATCAATATCACACTAAAAGCAGCTTGTGTGGGCTTTTCAAACGAAGCAACTGCATTTGCAAATGGCCAAACGTTATTCCTATTTAATCATCTTATGGCTATTTCGGGCACTCGGAATGTTAATGGTGCCTAAATGCAATGCACTTAAACAGCTCGAGAGATCCAGAATATCTTAGTCCGGGGCAATCTCTTAAAAACACTTCTCAATGTGATGAAATCTAAGGAGATTACGCTTAGAACATCCTTCTCGGCGGCAAATCATCCTTATCCCCGTGTGACTATCGAAAGGATGAGATAAACAATTTCCATGGCCTGCTGTGAAATAAAATGAAATCAGCAAAAGCAAAGGCAAAATCTCGCCGTTCAGTGTGTGAGGGAATTTTAATTGTGCGGAAGGATGGGGAGGCGAAGGATTTCAGCTCCTTCATTGCTTTCGAGGACGTAGCTTTGCCGACGAAGAATGCATTCCCTTGCATAATTTTCGTCATTTAATCGGATTACGGCGACGTCACAGCAGGAAACACACATAGCACACATACTCGTTTACTCATACCAAACGGCACGTTAAGTCGTCCTTGTGTAAATACATTTATGGCCAAAAAAAGATTTAAGGCAAACACGGTGCACAGATTTAATAATATTAAGTGACATCTGTTGTCTTGGCTGGCGGCAATCGCGTCGGTTGTTTACGACAACCGTAGCCACCAGAAACTGGAGAAATTAATTGGTCGCACTTGCTGCCACGCCCCCTTTTGGCCGCTGTTAATGCCAACCAGATATATATCCAACCAGATTCTGACCAAGTGCGTGGGCGTGCGTTTAATGCCACTTTGATTTTCACACTACCACGGCCAGAAGCCCCCAGCCTTAATCACCACCCCCCTTCCCTCCCCCTCCATTTACCCACTTGGAGGTATAGTAGCAACCCCAAGTGGGCGTGGCACGCCAAGGGCGGTCTTAATTACGCACGTATGGCTGTTTAAATTGGGTTTGCCATCGGGTCGGGAATGTTAGTTTTATGTTAATTAAGTATTGTTTATGTCAATTAGAGCGAACGGAATCGTGAAGGGGAAATGGGATACAAATTGTATTAACTTGAGCGAAAGAAACGGGAAATTAATAGGGCTCCACGAGGTGGCAACAGACATCTTAATAGGGTCATATACATCTGAAAAGGGTGAGCTGGTATTAAATATACAATTTAGATAAGCTTCATATTGGCCAAGAAAAGGGAAGTAATCGGTTGGGGTTGCCCATTACAACTTGATAATAAAGGATTATATTTGGTTACCAAATAAACATAGATTGTCCTTTAGCAATAGTAATAAATATACGATTTATTTTTGGCAGTTACAGTTGCAAATACAATAAGGGACAATAATAACCACCTTTCTCCTACTATGTTAAATAAATTCTTACCCCTAGAGATTAAGTATTAATTTGCTAATGCATAAGCTTCACAACCAAATACATTTTACCAAGAACATCTGTTAATTTCTAGGCAATGAGATTGATGTTGGGCAGGGGTACACAGTAAATCATCTTTCACCTTTCACCCAGCATGCCAGCATTAGTAAGAGCCTGTTCGGGATTACATAGCATATCACAGTTGAGCCTCTGACCCGAACACGATTTTGAAATTAAATCCAGGCCCAGCCAAAGGAATCCATCTCACAAAAATGTGTCACAAAAGCGCTCCAAAGAGAAATGTGGCAAGTGTCGCCACACAAAGCGAGCGACTAAGACACTCGATAGGCTGCTTCCCACCCAGTCCAAGTATTTTCCAACTTGCGACAAAATGCCAGTAACAGACGTTGCCATTGACAATGGCATATGGTTACAGAAACATCAGCCAACATCGGTGCCTGCTTTCGTATGCCACACATTAATCACACACGTATATTTCTTGGTACTTTTCATTCCACTTAAGCTGCGTTAAACATATTTAAAGTACGTGATGTTAAGTGTCTCCCGGGCATTTGGGGCCACTCTACCTTTTTGCTTGAGCAAATTTTAATATGTTTAACTCGTTTTGGTTGCCACTGCTGCTGCGAAGGAGGTTGGCCGATGGCGTTAATTTTTAACGGCCTGGTAGCCCGGCATCATTTGTGCAAGTCTAGGCCGGCATCGTACATAAATGTCAACCGACGGGCTCATCCATCAATGAACTCTGAAAAATTAACACTCTGAGTGACAGTGGCAAAGGACTTTCGCTCCACGGAGCCTTTTTTTGCGAATGGAAGTGGCTGGCTGTGGCCTGTCGCTTTAAATTATGCAAAACGTTACAATTCCTCGGCTCGTGGCCTGCCAAAGGTATAGCTGAATGATGAATTGTGTTGGCCAAAGAGTTGGTCGGCATAAATGCGGGGGAGGGGGGAGATGGAGGGAGGACTTTTGCTGGTCCGAATTGGGAATTTGCGGCTACGAGGGCAGTTTCATAGATTAAATTTGATTATGCTACATTACCCGACAACGAGTCCGCTACGTGATCGACTTACGGCCAGCAATCGCAAAAGGCCATAAAGCCATTCTGAAGCGGGGGCAAAAAAACTAAAGGGATTATCATTTTAAAAATGTATGAGCAAGTTTCGTTGAAGCTCTGGGGGCGATTAAGAGAATGTCCCAAATGCCAGGACCTAACTGAATTAATTATCTGTTCTGAAATGCATTAAAACTATGTCAAACAGAAATCGTACGCTTAACAAAAGTTTACTAATTGTTTGCTTTTAAAACAACATACTTTTCGAACTTTACTCATGTCAAAATACACATAACTTAACAAACTTTCTTTTACATATTTTAAACTAATTCATTATTTACCTTTATCTAATATTAATCATGTAGTTGCTATATTTTTAATTTTTAGGGGGGTGAATTTTACAAAGTAAATTCGTTTGTTGGGTATAAACTTACTCGTATTTTGCATAGTTGAAGGGTTTAAATATCATCAATGTTGGTTATGGAACTTTAAAAATTATAAAGACCTAACATCGCTATGCATAAAAGTTGGTGCTCAACTTTTACTTCTCAAATGAATGCTTTAATTGAAATCAAGTTTTACGAAACCAAAAAGAACACTCAAGCTCAGTGGACCATTCCCAATGACTCATTAATTAGAGCTTGACTCGGCTCAATTAGGAAAATCCATGGTGTGTTTTTTTTTTTTTTTGATTTTCTTCCATTTTAGCTTTTATTCAATTCGCTCCTCGGTCTCCTTCTACTTATGCTCGTCTACACATTCTGAGGCTGTTTTCCATCACTTACTCTGCACATGGCACAAACACCACAGGACATTACCAACAATACATCCTCCACCATCCCCCCACAAACCACCCCCCCTCACAGCCCCCGGCCCAGCTTGCTAATGTGTTTTTTACGAATTTCTCTCTTCTCTACTTCTAGTTGTGCTTTTGTATTTGCCAATTTTAATGAGTGTAGCAAGCAAACCAAGCAAAAAAAAACAAAAACCAAATCCAAATCCAAAAAACAGAAACAGAAACCAAAAACTTTAGCAAACGACAACAACAAACACAACAACAACAGAGCATTTTGTACAACAAACACAAGAACCAGCTAGCAGGTCCCATCATAATCACCATCAAGCCAAGACAACAACAACAACAACAACTACTCATTTGAATTGCAATAAATAAAACAACAAGAACAACAAGCACGTACACAATGTGACAATAAAACAGTGAGCGCAGTAGCAGCTAGAAAGCTAAAAAGGAATTTAATTGCACGCACTAGACGAGAAGTAGCCATAAATGAAGCAGAAACAAGAGCAAAAACAGCAAAGACATCCAAAACACCAACAAAAACAGCAGAAACAGTGATAAAGCCAAAAAAGACGCACAAGCAGAGAGAAATCCGCAAAGCGGCCGCAGAAATTATACAAAAAAAAAAACAAAGCAAAACCAAACTTCCCCTGTCTTGTCGAATGTCCTTGCACCTTTAAGCTCTAGCTGTGTGTGTGTGTGTACCTCCCGTTCACATATGTGTGTGTGTATCCCCAGCCACCTCCACCCCCACTCACAAGCGTACCACGATCGGTGTCCGTGTTTGTCGTGTAGCACCGCGTAGAGCAATCCAGCACCACCAAACCAATTAAAATATAATAGAAAAGCACCCTCAGCAATCACAATATCTTAACCACCTGCAATACCTGCAACACTTGCAACAGCAATCGCAATCGCAATAGTAATCGACACGGCGGTGCAGCCACCTTAAGAGCCAGCTGAACCACCGATCTCTGGGGCTGACAGGTCAGAGCGAATAACCCTAGCCAACCCATAGCCTCCTGGTAGCTCCCGATAGCTCCCCCGATTGATCCACTCCACCTAACCACATACCAGCACCACAATTGCACATTACTACCATAGATATCCCCGGCAGTACTACTACCGCATGGAGCGCGGCAGCAGCGGTGGTCAGCAGTCATCGCAGCACCACCAGCAGCAGCAGCAGCAGCAATCATCATCGCACCACCAGCAGCAGTCGTCGCACCATCAGCAACAGTCGCACCACCAACAGCAGCGACACCACCAACATGTGGTGGCCGTGCACAGCTTTGATCCGTATCTGACCGCCGGAGGGGCGGACGAGGAGCATACGTCGGGCACCTCGTCCTTTGACAATCCCGCCACCAAAAAGAAACCGCCCAAGCTGAAGCCCATCCATCGATCCCTGTCCATGGCCATCGATAATTATGCACCGTCTTCCGGAGATCTCGACATGGATTTGGATATGGAAATGGGCATGGAGATGGGCATGGACATGGACCTGGATATGGAGATGGATATGGAGGGCGAGGGCATTGTCATCAGTGAGAAGCCGCTGATCCACCGCTCGGCCTCGCCCCTGCCCCATTCCCGATCCGGCGCCCTACCCCCGCAGACCCTAGCAATCCCAGCACAACAGCAACAGCAACAACATATTATATCCCATCCTAGCCAGCGTGGCATCGGTGGTGGTGGTGGCTCCGGCAGTGGTGCCGTTTCGCCAGCCCTATCTGCCCGCCAGCAACACCATCACCTCCTCCAACAACAACAACAACAACACCATCAGCAACAACAACAACAACAACACCAGCAACACCAACAACAACAACAGCAACATCAGTTGCATTTGCACACTTTCCAGCAACTTGCTGCACAGGCAGCTGCTGCCCGGCATCAAACAACCCACCAGCAGCATTCACTATCGCACCGCCAACATCCGCAACATACGCAACATACGCATCCACATCAGCTTCAACATCCGCATCCGCATCCGCATCAGCATGCGCACTCGAAGAGCTCACCAACCTCACACGCGGTTAGCCCGGTGCTGGGCCAGCAGCACCGCCAGCAGCCGGACATTTACCTGGTCAGCAGCAGCAGCAGCCTGGGCGATGGTGTCGGCGTGGGCAGCTTGGGTGTGGGCGGCATGGGCTTGGGCGTGGCCATGGGCATGGGGCGATCGTTGGGCGGGAGCACATCGCCCATTCAATTTATTGACATGGACGATATGCCCAATCCGACAATTGCCCCCGCCCAACGACCAATGCACACGCATCCGCTGAAGAAGAACCTATTCCGGCGATCCGACACCATTGACGTCCATCCGTCTACCAATTTTCAGATGAAGAAAACGCATTCCTTCCACGCGCAACAGGATCCCGCCGCCCTGGACCAAATACAGCTGGCCGTTGCAGCCGGTTCGGCGGCCTCAAGTCGACGCACCAGTTCGGTGAGGGGCAACTTCCTAATGCCCGGTCCACCCGCGGGCGCCAAAGAAATATCCCGTTCGCCGTCGCCCAGCCGAAGGGGCTGTCGTTCGCATCGATCGTTCAATGATCCGGGTCGCAGGCCCAGCGTTAAGCCGGATTCGGTGGTGGAGTCGCAGATACGACATCCATCGCTAAACGATGACCTGATGGAGCCGATGAACGGACGCAATCTGTTTGCGGCACCCACCAATCTGTCGCTGGAGAATGAGCTGTTCGTGGATACGCGTTCGCGCAGCAACAGTCACACCAAGATGGAGGAGCTGGGCCTGGCGGAGATCACCGCCGCTGCCGTGGCAGTGCAGCGATTGCGCAAGAGCTCCGGAGCGGGATCATTTGAGGATGCAGCCGCCGGCCATAGTGCCACCCACCCGCCTTCAGCTGCGAATAGCGTTAAGCAGAAGCGGGAATCACACCACCCGCACACCCGCCAAGTGAGTACCCACAGCTTGGAGCTGGACGGACGTCCATCGACCTCGGCGGCGGCAGCAGCAGCGGCCGCTGCAGCGGGCGGCCATGGCCTGCAGCTTCACACAGCGGCGGCGGCGGCCAGTGCGGCGTACCACTTCAAGCGGGGCGCCCAGCTCGGTCGCTCGCTCTACCTGTCGCCCAGCAATCTGGAGGAGCTGACCGTCCACCGGCCAGGTGTTCTAGCGGCGGCAGCCGCCTTCCAGGGCACCAATGCCAGTGCCAGTGTCAAGCAGGCCAAGGCGCTGCACAGTGCCAGCGTACGGCTGCGCAGCTATCGGGAGACTTTGAGCGCCTCCAAGAAGTCCAAGAGCTTTATCGGGGACGCCAGTGTTGGCAGCGGTCCGCAGGCGGGCGACGACTTCGAGCTAAGCTCACCCCACCGACGCAACAGTCGCCCGCTATCCACAGTTGTGCCTGGATCCAGCATCGAGGAGATCAAGCGGAGTCCACGACCCATTTCCGCATCGGCGGCGGCGGCCGCCTTTCTGGAGGAGAAGCGGCCGAGCTTCGAGAGGAAATCGTCACTGACGTACGACCACGAGTTGAGCGATGCCGCCTTTGCGGCCCAGGTGCTGAGGCCATTCCATCACAAGTTGGCCGCCGGAAGGAAGGGCTCCGTGACCGGAGGCTCTCACAAACTGAAGAAGAAGTCGCTGAGCGATGACACCGACGAGGAGGAGGCGGCGGATCGCAAGCGCAAGCGGATCGTCTGCATTGTCCTATCCACGGTCCTGCTGTGCCTGGTCTGCGCCAGCGTGTTCGTACTGACCATCACGCTGACCTCCAGCTCTGGCCAGGGCGGAAAGAAGGCGCATTCGTTCAGCAGGGACACTCCCGTCCACTGGACGGGCATGCGGCCCTCATGAACTCCAACGCAGAGGCTGTGCTTTGGGCAACTCACCTACCTGCCAGCTGGTTATCCCCTGACTTTGGACTCGATTTCGTTAACGTTTGCGTTTTCGCTTCCGCTTCGATTTCGTGCTGTCGTTCCGCTCCACGTTTTGTTTCCTCTGTGTCTCCGGGTCTCTGGTTGCGCCGGGTTGCCCAACTGACGTTCACCGACTGAGGGAGAGGAGCAAATAGAGGAGGAGGTGCAGCAGCAACTGTCGCAGAGTCTGTAAGTAGGCAAGGCCTTGGGTATGAGTTTCTAAAAATAGATATGGAGGCTGCTCGATTTGTACATAGCACAAAATGCACAAAGCTTCGATTGTTGGCAATTGATTTATTACCTGTAACTTGTGAAAAGTAAAATAACTCATTTACACAAAGCAAAGGCTCCACGTTGGGCGCCAATTGGTTAGAATATAGAATTTTAACAAGTAAAATGACCCAATACCATTCTTAAAAGCATGCCTTTCATAAAATACTATTTCTATTCGGCAGACATCAGCAATCGAAGTTTCCTGCTGTCTGTTTCTTTGTATTGTAGTTACTCTGAAATCCAAATTATTTCCATACATAAAAATCATGGCATTTCCTTATTGAAATTCTTTAAACTGCATTCCATCTCTGCCACATCGATGCGAATCAATGAACGAGGTCAGCTTGGTTTCATTATCGGGCTTAAAGGACCACAGTCAGGGTGGCCATACTGCCATATGTCCTTACAGACCATAAAACTGTGCAAATACAAATATGTATATCAGCCCTTCCTTCTGTCCACCAACCAACCGTTCCCCCTCCTTAAACACCGCCCCCAAACAAAGAAAACAAACAAACACACACAACGCAGTAGCTGGTAAGGAATTTTCAAATATTGAGCTGGCAAAAGCTCAGCAAAATCTGGAGCATTACATAACCGACTAGCTGGCTAACTGACTAACCTGCCAGGCAAACACGCACATGGCCATAAAAAATGATGTTGTACTTACTTACCATGACTTTAATGACTTTGACTGCATCAGGAGCCGCAGCATCTTCATGCCGCAAAGCCAAACTAATCAGCACGTGTGTGCGTAAGGGTGTGTGGGTGTGTGGGTGTGTGGCTGTGCGTGTGGTTGTGTCGGTGAGAGTGTGTGCGAGTGTAAGTGTTATTTAGCAGAGCACAAACAATGCTTAACCGACTCTCAGTGGGTGGCAGTGGGTGACTAACTGACCGACAGAAAGACAGTCAGACAGACTAGCAGGCTGAGCAGCCAAGGCCTGCGGAGACCTTTCCCTTGGTTATCCTGCTCTTTTTTTATACTCTCGCTTAATAGTTTTGTTTGTTAACGTGTGTGTGAGTCAGTGTGTGAGTCAGTGTGTGTGTGTGTGTGTGTGTGTGAGTGTACGTGTACGTGTGTGGGTGTGCAGCATCATTACGGCACGGTACGCTTGGTTTCCTTTTTATTATGTGTGCGTGTGCCCACAGACAGGAGGCACGCTCACACTCATAGCCTTAATTTCACGTTGACGACATGGAAACTAGGTTACTTTTTCAACTGCGCCTCAGTGAGCGCCAGAAAGGGAAAGTGCAACAAAAACAACAACAAGAGCGATAACAACGGCAGCAAAAAATAAACTAACAACAATTGTTTATTATAAGGCGAGCAGCAACAGAAAAAGCAACTCATGCTAGTGACATTGCCCGCCCAGTTGGCCCAGATGGCCTTGCCAAAGCCGAGAATCCCGTGTGACCGCTAAAGTCCCCAAATTGCCAAGCTCACTAGCAAGTTGCAGTGCACACATATAAAAAATGCGACAAATTGACAGTTCGCACAAGAAACTTTGAGGTCAGAAAAAATGTTAGCAACAAGAAAGTTATTTCTCCCTTATCGAAAAGTTCAACTGCAAACTCTAAAGGCAACCACTTGATCAAACTGCAGAAGGTGCAAACTTATTGCCGATAGGATATATCTTATGGGTCCATTTCTCAGTAGTCCGATTAACTTGTATCCTAAGCTCTAATCGAAAAGTTTCGTCGCAAACTTCAAAAGGAATGAGAAGTGCAAACACATTGTTGATAAGCATATAAGTATACAAATAGAGGCCCTGCGTTGGGCGCCATTTTGTTTGCACAGAGCCACTCATTTATGCAACACTTCTCAATGCAATCTCATCTCGCTTAGTTATTATTTACACTTGACGTGCTTTCTATTGTGATATTCATAATTGAAAGCAATAATGGACGAGTTGTTTCAACAAGCCTTCCATTACCAAGGCAAATCTGTTGCATGTTGCATCTGCTTCATGCTCTAGTTAAATCACAAAAGGGAGAAAAAAAGCTAATGCCACTGGCATAACCAGACAGCGGAGGCAACAAAAGTGCATCAATAAATTCAATTTGAAGGTACAATGGATGCAAAACAATCCCTGGAGCCCAGTTCCATTCCCAGTCTGCTAATTAGGCGTCGGTTGCCATCCGTCAGGCAAACTGGCATGTCGGCCTGGCCACAGAATCTCAGGGAGTGGTGGCACAGGGGCCTTTTGCTTTCAACGCCACATTTATAATTAAACAACATGAAAGACAAAGCGCCGGGCAGACAGAGAAGGCAACTGAACGGAATGCGGGGGGGTGGCGGTTCGAGGGACGAGGGACGAGGCACAAAGGAGAAGGGCGGGCGTGAGGCTCAAAGTTACCCGGCAGCATTTATGAGCGCCCATAATGGCTGTTAACAATTTAACTTGTTTACCGGTGGGAAAGTTATATGTTAATTGGTCTCGAATAGCCTCGCGTACACACAGGCACACGCGAACCGAAGCTCCAGAAACTGGGCACGCACATAGCTCAACCACGTCCTTGAGGACAGGTGAATGATCAACTAGGCTATGTCCTGTAAACGAGGATATTTTATATAGAAAGCTGTACATTTATGGTTAACAAAGGACGAGTTTGAAAAACTTTTAGAACGTTATTTGAATTAGGAACAAAGTAAAGTCCTTTAAAAATGCTTAGCACATCATAATACATTTTTTATAGTCTGCTTTTGGGCGATTTAAATTTTGTTTTAAAATCGTAAGAAAATTTCGTTTGAGATTAAACTTTTAGGCTTAACTTACAGGAAAATCAGGTAATACAGTAATACTTAGGGACCTTATAGAAATTTCGTTTTAAGTAGGGCCGTTTAAGATTTAAATTTTAGGCTTAACTTACAGGAAAATCAACCAATAAACTGATAAGTACTAACTGAACCAAGACATTGTGTTGTTTTTGCTTCACTATAAATCCTAGTGTTTCCCCAAGTATTCCTGAGGGCCACATAAACCCTGTGTACACAGAAGATTATTAATCTACTAATAAATAATACCAGTACAACAGCCAAATCCAGTCATCCACCTATGGGCCCAACTTCAGGCCCCAAAGCAGGCCAAACGGAGGAGGCATTGTGCTGAGTAGCTTCTACTTGCCAGAGCGCCAACAAAGCCGGCAGCACACAGCACTTGGCCAAGTGAATAATGGCAGGCATCGTCACCTGTTCTCAGGCCCCCACTTTGGCATTAACACGTTGCGATTACGCCTCATAGCCCATGCAAAGGCACGAGCTGGGGGAATGGAGGTGGAGGTGGTGCCTAGCCAGCAAACCTGGACACATCCTGGCCTAGCGGTTGGAAACCACCATGTGGCCTTTGGCCCATATATGCATATGAATTTGATGACGACAGCAGCAACAGCAACAGCAGCAACGGCAACAGCAGCAACAACAACAGCGGCAACATCAGCAACGATGTGTGATGTTGCATCGTGGTTGCACTTCCACTCGTTAAAGTCGCTGGCTGCGGGTGGAAATGGGATAACTAATTTTTGCAATTAAATGAGAGCGTAAAAAGGGTGAAATTACTTAAATTTTTGCACTAGCCATGCAACAGAGTGTGTGTGTACGCTTGTGTTTTTGTTTGCGTTGGTCGCTGGGCTGTTTGGTGGCCATTTGGGGCAAGAATTTTTTAATTAAATTTCAGCCGGGCGCATACTCTGTGCAATGGCAAATAAATATATTGCACCAGATAGGAACTCTCTGAATTAGCAGCTTTTCCGGCAAATCAATCAAATTACCACACACACAAACACTTACACATACCATACCGGACTTTAACATACAAAACAAAGGACTTAAACTATTTGTGGGGTTTTCAAGAGTTCCACATGGGAATAAACAACCAAACTGGGAGTGAAACGGCAACTGTGACTTGTCTGTGTGTCCGCGTGTATGTTTGTGATTGATTGGCAAACAAATTTTGACACTTTACACAACACCCACGGGCAGGTAACCAATGTTTGTCCAACCGATTCCTACCCCTGCTCCACCGATTCCCATTCCCATTCCCATCGCCAGTTTGTTGAGCGTTAATTAAAACTGCTGTAAAATGCACAAAAGCGTTGAGCAAACAGCAACCGCGACGACAATCGCAGGGGGTCATGTCAAGGGGGTTTTTTGGGGGTGTAAAAAAACGAAACGAAACGAAGCGAGTACCGTGTGTGAAATGGGGGGATATGTACTTGATATGTGTACACATATGCGAACGTGATAACCCAAAGCGGAAACGGAAATGAAAACAGCGGGAAGATGAAAAAATGTTGGACTGTGTTTAAAGTAAATAGTCTGGATTGATGAAAGTTGTATTCGAGAATTCATCAACAGGCATTTACTTCAACTGCAGTTCGAACGAAATGCAACAGGATAATAACGAGTGCGCAGTGAATGTTTACTTATATTCTAGTATATTTATGTATCTAAGAACTTGTTCCATTAGAGTTATAAACTGGTGGAAAATATGTAGCAAAGTTTGAAAAAGATTTTCCGCTCATTAAGCTTACTTACCAAAAGACCGACTAGCTTAAAAATAATAATTAAATTTTTATTTATTCAAGGGTTTTGTTAGCTACACATTTATAATTTAATCTTATTATTATTATAATATCAGAACCCTTTTAAGTAAATATGCTGTTAAATTAAAAAGTACTTACAAAGAAGTAAACGTATTCTTTAAATGTAGTTTTTATATTTTTAAAATCCTTTTGCTACAGGGCAATCAAACTGAATATTTACACAAATGATTTTCATTTCCCCTGATGCAATCCAAGATCATTTACACCGATTTCTATCGTTGACAGTGCGACAGGAAAACGAGCGGAGCTACCGCGAGAATCTGGAGCGCACCTTGATGATGAAGAACCGCACCGAGCTGAATCTGCAGCGCCACCAGATGGAGATGCAGATGCAGATGCACGTCGTTCCATGAGCGTTCCGAGCGGAAGGAAGGAAGTGACACCGCTGCACCAGATGCGACCGGATGAGATGTCAGCGGGAGCTGCTGGAAATGTCAGCGGTTCGCAACAAGTTTGTGGCAGGAAGCCGGAGGACCCTTCTTGTCCCGTCCTCTTCGCCAACCTCCCCCTCCCCCCACCACAACCACACCCCCAAAACTCCCTTTTTGCCCAGCCCTAATCAAAGTTATGCGCACAAAAGCTACAAAGAATAACAAAGAATACAAGAAATCAAAACAAAAGAAAATTGTTAACTAAAATATAAATGAGGATGGAGCACTCCGAAGTGCTCGACTAAAGCTAAAAATAATGCTAATTGTAGTTAAGTCTGCCCACGCGGAAATCACTTGTTTTGTATCTAACTGAAAGGTAGACTCCACTTAGAGCAAACAAAAAAAAATCAAATAGAATGGTCGAAGAAAAATTAAAAGTGATGCAGTTTAGTCGATAGTTAAAAACGTTGTTTATAGAGTTACTTCGATGGCATTTTAAATGTTAGGTCAGGGACGTTCTGGTGTTTAAGCTCGCCTAAAATTATTTTCTAGTGACTTTATACCACCTGGAAATGTTTTTAAAATTATGCAAGCGTAGTTTTTATTCCAAAAACCCCTTTGTACAAAAATAGTTTGTACTTCTTTTTCACAGCATAATTTTGAGCACAGTTTTAAGTGGTTTCAAATCACTATTGGATTTAATTTTTTAAGTTGTTTAAGTACTTGTAAAAGTTATAAATTCAGAAATAAAATTACTGCAATCCTGTTGTTTGAATTGTTTCCAGAGAAATTGTTTACCAGAACGGACTCGATTGTCCCGTAATTATTGTGCTTAGGATATGATCTAGTTGAGGCTGCAGGACGACGCCAACTGGAAGGAGCAATTAAGCGAAAGGTTTCGATTGTTCAGTTGATTAGCCAAATGGTTTCAATTTTTTCTTTAGCAGAGCTTGCCTCCTTTGGTTATCCCACCCGAAAACTCCCCCCAAGAATGGCGTCGACTGGGCAGCTGGCGAGTGGAAAAAAGTTGGTCAATAGTTATGTCTGAAACTAAGTTGTTAACTGAAAAGTACTCCTAAGTAAATGTTAATAGCCATAAACAACAGAAAAGTTTTTGTATCTCTTAGAAGACGTTGAAGAAGAGGTGGTGGAAAAGCGCAACCAAAAGTATCCAGTATTCCACGATACATTTTGAGTAAAAATACGATTTTCATAGGTTAACAATAATTGTAAAAACAAAAAAAAAAGCAGCAAAGGAACATTCAATAGATTTACTCGTAATTGGAACACACAACTTGTGCCAATGAAAACTTAAGGAATCCTAATGAGAACCTGCAAAATAAGTGGCATAGCGTAATTTAATAAACAATTGAAAATAATAAACAAGGAAAAGTTAGATAATTAGCGGATCGATGTGAAACTGTTACTTAAGTGCAAAACGAGCTTGTTGTCGAATTAATTTTTAAATGGATTTAAACTAAGTGAAACTAAGCTAAATGTTAAATGTTTTTTTAGGTGTTCAATGTTATAATTAATTTGTGGTCGAGCAGCCGAAATGAGGTAGAATTGATTGCCCAGCCTTTACCAAATGAATAATTTTACGAACCTGTGCTAACTCAGTTGCAAAGTTTAACGACAAAATTTAGCTTGAAGCAAACTTCTATCGGTTTCAGCCAACTGAGCGTTGAAAGCTTGAATACAAAGTGGTGAACGAACTTCCCTGACCGCCCATCTCCCTGCCCAATTAACAATTATCCGGAATTGTATTTTCAAGCGCAAATGTTTCTTAATATTCACCCGGATGCGCAAAGGCAATTTAATAGGTTTTTGGATTCTGGCGTGAAATTAATTTGAGATCCACAGATAAGAAAATTACTTTGTTTCCACAAAGCTTGCACGTGTATATATGTACCGGCATAGATAAATACAAAGAGAAAAATAACAAACTGCTGATACTTTGATCAAAAATTGAATTTCCAAATATTTATTTAAAACGAATCTTAACCCCTCATAAAAACAGCTTTAATTAATGTTTGGCAGAGGAAATCAATTATTATTGAATTGTAATGCTTAACCAAAACGACGGATAATTTCAACGTAAAACATTTCATAGGGATAAAGAAAATTCATCGAGCATCTCTGTACTTTATTCTGTTTAGTTTAATCATTAAGAAAGCGAATTTTTGGCTTACAACTTTAAAATTCCCACTATTCTCAGTATACAAATTTCTTGGGGCAGATGGCAAGCAGGGAAGCAGAAGTTCAACGATGGGCAGGATGAAAACAAATGGAAAGCTTTAAATTAGCTCAATAAATTGTAAACTTAAACATTTAATCTACTTAGAGCGGATCGTTGTTAAATGCAATGCAAGTACGTCGAAGACAGAGACTCACACACCTCATTCAGATTTGTAAGATTTGCATTTCGGTCTAGGAATCAATTTCATATTTGACCTGACACAGAGGCTAAACAAATTCAAATTTACGCAAGGCAACCGCAAAGGATACTTAATATAAACAATCAAGAAAAACATTGTACTTAGTAATTGCATTTAACAAGTGGGAAAGAGAATATTTACTAGGTTCGCATAATTGATTTAACTGCATGCTTAAACTAACGAAAGTAAACGAGATATTAACTGAATGGAGGTAAAATAAAAACCTAATTAAAACAATACAAATAATGTCTGTAATTATGGCTAGCTAAGTGTAAAAATGTAAGCTGAATTATTATACAACCAACTACAATCGAAGCAAGTAAATTGATGTAATTGAAATACTCGTAACGTTTTAGGGCAAAATACCAATGAATAATGACACAGGTTAAACACAAACACGCAGCAAGAATAAATTAATGAATAACGAAATTATTTCTCGAGAAAAAATCAAACTTTTTAGCCTTTGAACGAGAGACTTTTGGTGCCCAATCCAGTTTGAGCAATTATTTACAAATGAAAAAAAATAACGAAACACAAAGAAAGACACACACAACAGAAACACACACACATGCAGATGTATTGTAAATAGAACAGCAAACAAAATGAATAAATACCAAGTAGGTACATAAATAAATAAATAATGAGAAGGCTTATCCAAGTAAATCAACATTAAATAAATTAACAACGGAAATCAAAGAAAAACAGGTAATACTTCAACTTGTGTGCAAGGAATCAACTTTTACTGTTAATTGTTGCTGGCAATGCAAAACGCAAAGCCAACCGAAAAACGAAAAAACGAAATTACAAAAATAAACCATGAAAAATGCAAAACAAATATATTTAAAAATACATTTGAACGCCTTCAGCGTTTTATTCATCAAGCAAGAAATGTTGAATCGAAAGAAAAAGTCAAACAAAAGCCATACAAGCGATAAATCAATTTGTGTCACCTGTGTAGTAAGTATATCTCAGTATTTGTAACTGAAAATGAAAACGCGTTGAAGTGCAGGCATCAACCACAACAACAACAACAACAAAGAAAAATCAAATGAAAATAAACTGAATTTACAAGTGGACTTTGACTATTATTTACGAGTAAGGTCGCAAATCATTTCGCCTTTTGGGAGAAATATTTCTTCAATTACGAAGTAAGTACCTGTCGAAATTTAAAATACCCGTAAGTATGCTCAGGCAAAAAAAAAGGGATGGAAAAAAAGGTTATCACTTCTCTTTGACCATCGACCCGCATTCCAGTCACCCAAGAACGAGTGTTCCCAGTTATTTGCTCCGCCAACAGGGTTCAGAAATGAATTCCTAATATTACAAATTAAACAATATCCTACAAATTGTTCGAATATAAATTAATTCAATTTAAATATAATATCAAGTTGGCCAATATTATTCAGTTAATATTTTTTTTTTTTCGCGGAGTCCCACGATATGTATAATTAAAGGACGATGGGTTAACTTTTGTAAACACATCACTACGTACATCGTGACACATTGGAAGTCAGAATTTGTATTAAAATTGTAAGGGCCTACTTTCAATAGAATACGAGATATTTTTCTGAAAATGATGGTTTTGTGTCTGCGCATTTGTTTTAAAGTTTATCACTCATACGTACTGTTGCCTGAAATTTAATAATTTATTTTTATCGAAATAGTTTAGACTTGGTGTTCTTTTAAGTCATATTTTGTCCCGTACTTGAAAAAGATCAATAAGTTGAGAAGGAAAGATTTATTTGCATGCAACTGTGAATGGCATACGTTTCGTATGAGTAATTTTTATGAAATAAGTTTATTTGCAGGCCATTCTTATCGTGTTTTTTTATATTTGTCTGAATAAAAATCTCAAGAGATTGTTACTTGGTGTTTTTAAGTACGCTCTTTGACAAATAAGGTACTCAAACGTTAATGTTTACACAGCATTTATTTATACCCAATTTTAAGTGATTTCAAATCAGTTAATTCCGGCATGTAATGGCAACCTGTTTTGGAGCGCCATCTTTAGAAAGCTTTCAGAACGAAAGGTGAAAGTCTCAGTTTTCTAGTGTGCCCCAATGCGGAAAAATACCGGAGCCCCAACTGGCTTCAAAAAATACCAAGCCCCCAACCGATAACTGCCCCCAAAAAGCTCCTCTCGTCAGCTTTTGCCCATCGATCGCCACGAGCTTATCGGACTCGCGATCTGATCCGAAAAGTTGAAAAACAAAGTGAAGATAAATTAATTAGCAATTAGCCAGTGTAAATAGAGTGTTGTCAGCCGACTAGCCGCAGCAGCTGAGCTGATAGTTCCGCTTCTGCCCCGCGTGGCACCGAAACAAGCAACGAGCAAGTGAAAGAGGGAGAGCAGGTGGAGAAAGGGGAGGCGGAGGAGGAGGAGCGGACAACGAGGCAGAAACAAAAGCACAAAACGGCGGACAGAACCAGTCGAAACAAAACAACAAACCGGAGCGGACGCACTCGAAAAGCGAATAAAATTTATTTCTGTGCTTAGTGTGAGCCTGTATGAGTGGCGTGTGTGTATGTGTGCTGTGTATATTTAAACAATATTTAAAAATCATTCGCCAGACGACGAAAAGCGAAGATCTCCGCTATAGCAAAGCGGAGCAGACAGATAAATAAAAACAGACTCCGAGACAAAAACAACGAGACTGTGACGCAGCAAGGTGCTGGAGGTCACTCGGCCCATTTCGCGTAGCACCATATAGCACCATATAGATGCCACCACCCCCCGCGTAATCAACCCCGTAACCAGTTCCAGTTCCATCCGCCCGCAAACAACACGCGCGATCTGAAAACTCTAAAAAAAATACAACAACAAAAAAAAAGTTATACAAAAAAAAACAACAAAAATAACAATAGCAAACTCACGCGCTTTGTCGTTTTATAACCCGCCCTCTTGACTGATAAACGTCAGTTGATAAATATATATCGCATCACACCAAAAACAAACACACCAGCAAACAAACACCAATTATTCCAATAAAGCCAGCGCCAAGTGCGAATGCGCCCTCGATTTGTATGCCATCAGCAGCACTCGGTTGCCCATTCCTACTTCCATCCCCATTCCCATACCCATTCCCACTACCATCGCCATCCCAATCCACATCCACATCCCCCCAATCATTCCCACCACATTTACGGCCCCACTGACGTCAGTTATCGGCGTTATCGCACCGCTAACATGGTGGTGGCCGAGGGAGTTATGGACTCCGGATCGGGGATCGGTGAGGGAATGGGCCACTTCAACGAGACCCCATTATCCGAACTGGGGATCGAGACCCGCACCCAGCTGTCCCGCATGCTGAACCGCAAGAAGGTGCTGCACTCGGAGGAGGGCTACCAGCGGGACTGGCGGGGCATCTCCCAGTTGGCCAAGCAGAAGGGATTCGTCGACGACAACGCCAACAATCCGATGGATCTGCTGCTAATTAGCTGGAGCCAGCGAAGTCCCAAAACAGCCGTGGTGGGAAATCTCGAAAAGTACCTCGGCATCATCGATCGATGGGACGTCTGCGACGATATCCAAGAGAATCTAGGTAAGCATTATCTTATGACCATATAAGTATTTTATCATTAACCAGTATTGGAAATATTACACTTGATTTAGAAATACCATAAGTTTGAGATACAATTGAAACCATAGTCGAAGGGTTTAATTATCAATATTTATTTTACTTATCTAAAGTTTTAAGATTTATCATTCACATCAAACTTTAATAAAGTGTTATAATTTATAATAATACTCAAAAATTGGTAAATTATTGCTGCAATTTAAAGGAGACTCTCTTTAGGCATTATATCAAACTTATCAACAGTAGGTCTTATATTATTATATTAGATTATTTATAGAGCTCAATTCTCGTTATCTTTAAAAATAAATAGGTTAATACAAATTTGAGTCCAAATTATAATACATGCAAAGAACAATTGTCAATAATTTTTGATTAATTTGACTTCAGATTAATGATTAAAAAAACATTTTTGTGTCTGTAAAAATGATTGTGATGATGATTGTGACGATATCGACTGCATGCGTTACTTATCTACTTATCTATAAACAAATTTATCTAACTCAAACAATGGTTATCATTAAATAAATAATAAATTATGTTATGATGAACATTTTTGAATGATTAATAGGGAATTGTTAATATTACCGAAAAAACAATTCGGATTTGTAAAATTTTTTATTATCATCCTCACAAAAACACTAGTCTCATAAATAAAAATCTCCAAGCAGTAATTTGTAGTAAACAACAATAAACATAAACAATTCAAGCTAGAGAAAAAATGTCAATCATTTAAGAACGAAGTATTTTTGTTTATTTGCACAAAGGGGATTCACCTGGGAAAAATTGGTTGTCATTAATAGAAAAAACCTCGACACAGCGATTTTTGTTTGGGAGCATATTTTTGTATAGGAATGTTAATATGAATTTTGTATACAGTATATCAAAGAAAAATTAGAAGATAGGAAGGTCAAAGTTTGATGTACAATAATAAAATTTATTTTAAATTTGTCTTGAATTTTTTATAGAAGAAGGCAGTTTCTACTTTTCTCTTGAGCATTAATATTTATATATTTTAATATTTTACATATTATCTTATCATAAATTATTTTCTACGGATAAAAAAATAATATATTAATTTGGATAAGTCAAATCATATTAATTTTAAGTTCAAAATGATATTCGTTGATTTCAAAATAACATACTGCTGAAATGAAATATATATAGAGGTATTTTGTTTGTCATTTTAAAAGCACATTCATTGTTCTAGAAATACCTATGTTCTGATACGGCCTACGTTTCCACTGACATCAATTTTGTTTAATATTAAATATTTGACATGCAGCCAAGGACACCCAACGCTATATCATGAAACAGGAGCAGCGACAGACCTCTCTAATAAAGGCGTGTCCTTCGCCCCCCAGTGACGGTTTGGAGACCAACAACAACTACAGCGACAACATCACAATGGGCCAAAGTGTCCAAATCCTGAGCGAAGAAGATCAGAGATGTGTGGAAATGGGTCAACCGCTGCCCAGATATCATGCCTGTGTTTTATATGCAGAGGCAGACATCGATCATGCCACAGAAATCATAAATATTCTAGAGTCTGAGCGATACAATCTCAGGGTGAGTGGAGATCCCTTGGGTCTTGTTTGTGTCGGGAAATAACTATGGCATATTCACACACAGCTCTTCCTGCGCAATCGCATGCTTTTGGGCGTTCCCTTCGAGCATGTCCAACTCTCCCACTTTCTGGCCACCCGCTGTAATAAACTGATCGTCGTGCTCACAGATGACTTTCTTCGGTGTCCGGAGAACGCATTCTTCGTGAACTTCACCCAGAAGTTACAAATCGGTAAGTGGCTGTTGTTCAGTTTTGTTGCCTGGGTTCAATTTAAATAACAAGTTCCTCGTTCTGCTTATTTTTAGAGGATCAGAGTCGCAGAATCATACCGATTCTGTACAAGCCGGACATGCACATACCACTGACCCTGGGAATCTATACGCACATCAAGTACACCGGAGACAGCAAGTTGTTCAACTTCTGGGACAAGTTGGCGTATTCGCTGCACGATATGGACACCTCTCATACCCACTCCACGCCACAGGCTCAGACGTAAGTTTGCCTAGTTATTTTTCGTGGGCGGCTTAATTCATAGGGTTGCAGAACAAGTAATAAACAATTCTAGGGTGGAAACAAATCTTTAGATAATTATATCAGGGTTGACCTTCACAAAAGATAAAAATGGTTTATAAACTCTTTGTATGAATAGAAGTAAATTAAAGTGAATATCCAAATCAAGTTCTTATAATTAACTTTTGGTGTGCAATTATATATTTGTCTACTGCTGGTTTTAGGGGCTGCGAATTCGCTTTATGGTGTTCTCATAAAATTCTCAAATGTACACCAGCTGCTTGTAAACAAAATTGTATAAGCAAAAACCAAATAGCGTGTGAGCTATCAACCTTAGAAATGACTAGAAAGAATTTTTAGTTGATTTTATGCCTGAGAAGAATATACTTTTGTTTCCAGAGGATGAAGGAAACCTTTTCTTGATTAAGTACTTCTAAAAGAAATGCCAAACTGAAATTACGTTCACAAAGCTTAGTTATGCTTTAAATATTAAATTAAAACAAAAATAGCATGAAATATTTAAGGGAAAACCAAGATTAATTTCCGCTTCTTAATGTATTTCGCTAAGGCAGATTGACTCACGTTAATGAGCCCCCTTAGTCATCAGTAATGCTAAACATTATCTTCACACAGGCCCTCGCCGGTGGAGGAGTCGGCTCCAAAGCGGGTGACCACACCCAGCATCCGGATACAGATCAACGATAAGGATGTCACTGATATGCCCAGCTACAACAGCGACAAAGTTCCGGAAGCAGAGACCACAATGCTGACGATTTCCGGCGATACAAGTTCACCTTTACCCGAACACAAGCCGAAGAACAGTTTCCTGCGAAAGATCACACATAGCTTTGGGAAGACGCCACGGAACGAGGGGGCCAGTGCAAAGTCCCTGCGACACGCCCACTCCGTCAGCACCATCAATGTGACGGCACGGGAAAGGACACTCAGTGCCAGCAGCTCCAATATCTCCACCACGTCGGAGAGCAAGAAGAGCTCCATCAAATGGCAGCCGAATATCCTGAAGAAGGTCCTATTCTCCCGGTCCAGCAGCAAGCTGCAGACGCCTGGTTGAGATCGTAATGTTTAAGGATAGCCATTCATTCGATTTCCTTGATTCCTTGTCCAGTCTAGTTACGGCGGTAGAGTCGCCAACGTCGTCACCCTACATGCTTAGTGATAATCCGTAGCCTAATCCTTATCAAAGTCAAACTAACTTAATATACTTAGACGCACTTGTTAACTTATATAAGACAACAACGAATAAAGACAATACCACATATCTGCACAAATGTATCACAAAGCGCACCGCCGACCAAATACGCTACGATATACTATAAAATGTATGCATACGACCGTAGATTTGATAAACAGACAAATTGGCAATTGTGTTGAGTGAGGTTAAGTGCGCGGCGACACACTGCTAATCGAAGCGCTCAATTAACTGTTAGTCACGCGTTCGATAAGTGACTTACTTAATTAAATTATCTCTGTGGCACTGTACTCGCAACTCAGAGCTCAGCCCAATGAGTGCCCCATCTCGGATGAGTAATGACCATATATAAAGTATACGTATTATTGCAATGTGCGAGCAGCAGTGCTTTATCGCTCTGTAAATTGCTAAAGCACTTCTAACCGATTGCTAGCAATAAGTAATTGTTTGTTTTGGGTACCGCCTTGGGCAGGTTCTCCCTTGTGATTAGCCTTAGCTGTTACCGATTGTTACTGATTGCTGTGAATGCGTGTCTATATATAGTATGCCCGATGTACACACACTTACAACAAAGTAAAGCCAAGATTAGAAAACCAATAGGAAAGGTATTCCTATAAAACTGAATATGATGAATTACATTTCTTTGCTATAAGTATGTATACCTATAAACTATAAAAGGTCGTCAACCATATTATGTTAAACCATAAAACGAAAACGCCTCAATGTCGGACATCGATCGCTAGAATTTCGACCTTCGTTTATGCTTATGAAACGCACCGTAACCGTATCGGAAATGAGCAAGCTCCAGTTGAGCGGCAATAAACTGTTCAATGTTTGGCTCAATAATTTATTGTTGAATGTAGACAACCTTTAGTTCGTTTATGTTTAATAAACATTGCAGTTGATGTGTGAATCCCCAGTATGTTTACATACAGTTTTTCGCATAAATATTGAGTGAAATTGTTTATCGACCAGTTCCGGTTAATCTAGAAGACATTTTGAATCGGTTTAAATTTTTGTATTTTTTTGTTTTATTTATTTTCTGTTTTTTATTGTTTAAATCGTTTAATGTTTTAATAATAGCTCCTCGCTCACATTTCTCACATCGTCTCTTTCTGCGTTTAATTTCGCTCTCTGTGTGTTACAATTTACACTGTGAACAAATTTGTTTTTTTTTTAGCCTTACTGCTCCTTGCAACTTGAGCTTGTTCTTTAAACTTTGTTTGGTTTTTTTTTTGTTTTTGTTACTTTTTTAATTGAATTTATGTTATGTTTTGTTTGGTTGTTTCTCTGCTCAATGTTGGTTTTATGTGAGTGTGTGTATTTATATATCGATTTATATATGTTATTAATTTTAATCTGTCGTTTGTTATCCGCTTAGCTTTGTTTTCCTTTGTTAGAGTTATTTTAATGATTTCATTATCGTTTAACAAAATTAATAAAAACAGTTTGTAATTTGTTTGCTCTTTGTTGTATGTATATGTTAATTGATCAATTTATTCGTAATTCGCAATATTAAAACAATGTAACGCATGATGTTGCATCTTCTGCCTCGACTCGCGCTCTATGAGTATTATTTGCAAATTGTTTCGTAGCTTAATTAATGCCTTTCTTTTGGGGATGTCTTACATTCGTTTCGACTTGTTATTCATCTTATAAATCTAACTGATTGCATTTACACAGAGTGTGTGACGACGAGTCTGAGTGGAGGGGCAGGGCAGGGCCTTGAACTGGAAATGGAAATGGAACTGGAAATTGGATTGGTCTTGGACTCAATTTGGGAACGGGATCGAACAGAAGGTAACTAACTCAACTGGAACTAAGGTTCGTGTAAGTGTCTGTTTGTTCTTTTAAAGCGTTATCCTCTATAGTTAAGTGTTAACAATGATTATGATTATGGAAGTCAGCTGAAGAAGTCTGTATCGGTTTGGAAGTTGAGTTATCATCGTATTGCGAGTTCCCGTCTTATAACTATGTAATGCTTTTTGAGTACTCATAGGTATTTCCGTATTACCTTCCTCAATCTTTATAACTCGACTCCCCTCCCTCGTACTCCGTCCTTTAATCATACATACATACACATGGAGATATATTCATCGTCGTGTTTTGGGTCGCTTGCCGTTCTCGACTTACTAATAAATTAAAACAACACTAATGAATTTGTTTTTCGCCTCGCTAATTGTGAATTCTCGTTTAACGTTCTTCTTCATCGCTTTGCTCCTCTCTTTTCTAACTTTTCGTTTATTATCGTTATCAATCAATTATCAATTTCAATTTTCATTTATACATACTAGGTTTTCATTAAATTTTCTCGCTTCAATGCTTAGATTTGTGCCTTGGACAAACGCTTGTTAAAAATCGCTTTCTTTTTTATCGCTTTACTTTTCCGTATTACATTTAACTTAGTTTTTTCTAGAGCGGAATTTTGTTGTGGTTAATCTCGGCATTTTGTAAGTTTTAGACAATTTCGATTGCTACTCGAGGTGCCTTAAAATCTGATGGAGCAGCAGAAGTTTCTATTCAAATGACGAGCAAGTAGACCAGCTACAGTTGCTTTTAAAGCCCTTAACAAAAGTGTATTTGAAATTAGGAATTAAATTAATTAATTCTTGAATGAGAAAACAATCAATCTCAAATTTAGAACACAATTATTAGGTTTGAAGTGTGTTTTTTAAATGTTGACTTTTAGATTTTAAAAATCTGTTCAATTATTTTTAAATATTGTTATTATATGGATAATCATAAAATAAAAACCTATTAAGTTTCCTATCTTAAAACAGTTTTAAAAACCTTTAAATTAATGTAGTTCTGCTCTTAAAATAAGCCATATTCTAATAAATTTTGAAAAGCATTTTGAATATTTTGGAAGATCAATCGTTTTAAAATTCTGTGTCCTTGCCAAGAATCCTTCAACCTCCTGCTCTCTCAATTTACCCCGTTTTTGTTTATACCCGTATTGAACAGTCAAAGTTCTGGAAGTTGAAAGCCTAACCCAACGGATGCAGATGCAGATGCGAATGCTAATGGCGATGTTGGCAGTGTTTTCGCTTTTACGCATTATTTCAATTTCAATTACAATTTCGATTGCGATCGTGTGATGTCTTCTGATAGATACTCCCAATGGATCTACGGCTGATTTTGGAGGCCATGCGGGGGCGATCTATGTATATCTACTACACATATTTTTTAGTCTGTTCGTCAGGCATTTTGCGAGCATCGAGCATCTTGCTTATTGTTTCTATTCTCTGTGTTTAATTTTAACATTGTGCGCGATTTTGTTGAACGTTTGACAACACTACAAATAACGGCAGTTTTACATGCTGATGGGGATGATTTGTGGAATTCTTTTTTATCAGGGGAGAAATGCAACAACATTAACAAATAATAGGCCTCAAACAGAGTGTTACGCTGTCCAGGAACTATACAAATATTGGGGGACTTGGGGTCGAAAAGCAAACTGAGGAACTCACTACATAGGAAACGAGAGACCGACTGAATTACAGTTAGACCCCGTCATCTTTTGCTTTGTGGCAACAACAATTTATAGTCTCTGTTATCTATATCTCTTTCACAACTTATAGTCTTTGGGTTTAGATTAGATTTCCTGACTCGAGTGGCAGTCTGTGTATGGGGTTATCCAACTAAATAAGGCTATTTTGGCACACAATCACAACGAAACACGAAACATCTATTGTACAACAACGATAACAACACAGGGATGGGTGGTAATGAGGTTTTGCGGGGGCTTGCAACTGATTTGGGTGTGAATTTTGGGGAGTTTGAATACAAATTTGATACTCATTAAGATCATTGTAAACGATGCAGCGGCTGCTTGTGTGGAATTTATATATGATCGATGTGAAATGGTATTAATTATTCATTCGTACATATACTGCACGCCAACCGCTGCAGCGTTTACAACCAGCTTTACTCCTTCTTTTAATGTCGGTCCCCGTCTATGAGAATTCTGGCTAAATGCTACAAAAAACTGCGTTAACATGATTCGCGCTTGTTGCTGTTGTTTTGGGCGTGGGTGTGTGTTTCTGGGTGTGTGGCTGCTTTGCTTTCGCCTTTTTTATAATTCACGTTTATGCTTACTTCACTATTGTACAATGTGCGACTTGCATTATTATATTCTCGTAATTATTTTATATAAGTATATATGTATATATGTATGCATGTTGGTGTGTGTGAGAGTGTGTTCGTGTGTTGAGCTGCTGGGCTACTCCTATTTTTTGGTTTTTCCATTTTTTTCGTTTTTCGTTTCTGTAAAATGCGCTAGTTTATTGATACCTTCCGTGGCGCCCAACGTGGGACATTCGTGAACCTGTGGGTTTTGCCCGTCTGCCCGCCATTGGCACTCTAAATTCTGTCCTCCTCGTCCTCCTCCTCCTCTTCCTCGACCTCCTCGCCATTCTCCTCCAGCTCCTCCTTGTAGCCGGGATGCTCGGAGATGGCATAGTAGTTGCCATTGTAGATGACGCCCAGTTCGCGCAGCGCATCGCCACGTATTGTCGCCTTTATCGTCCAGTTGTAGCAATCGTCCGATTCGGACTCGCGATCCAATCGCTCCACGTCGAGAATCTTGGAATTGAGGCGCTCCAGTATGATGCCGATGTCCTTGATGCTGAGGTGGCGCTTCTGGTCCACCGACAGCTGGTCGATCAGCAGCAGAAACTTCTCCGTCGTCGTCTTGTCGTCCTCCATCACCGTGTTCTCCGTTTCACTCTCGGAACTATCCCGCTCCGGGGCAATGTCCAGGAATCGCACATGGCCCTTGGCGCCCGACGAGCGGCGCTGCATGCTGCCGCTTCCGCCGCCGCCGCCGCTGCCACTGCCGCCCAGCATAGGATCCATAACCGATGGTGCCGACTGCGGCTGGGGACTGCTGCTCCCGTCCTGGATGGGCGACGTGGCCACGCTCTTGTGCACGGCGATCTTGCGCCCCTCCTCGTGCAGCGCACAGCAGTGGAAGTCGCACTCCGTGGTGCTGGGACTGCCCGCCCTGCTGGGCGTGTGGGCGTGGTGGGCGCACTCGGGCGTGTGCACATGGACCGCTCCGACGCCCA